AGAGAGTTGAGAGAGGGCCAAAGACAGAAGGAGAAACTGAGGGAGAGAAATAAAAAGGCTGAGAGAGAGAGATACTCAAAATGATGGGAAAAACAAAGGAAGATTGAGAGCAGGAGAAGCCGGCAGGAAGCCGGAGGGAGACAGGCCTAAGGAACGTGGCTACAGAGACATTTCTGAGATGTTCTAAGAAAGAAACACACTCAAGAGCGGTACGCAGGAGCACAGACATCGTGAATCAGACCAGATCCCGAACACAAAATGAGTGGGAACAGAGGTTCAGAAAAAAATACATCGAGAGCCCAAGAGGGGGAGCAAAGATGAGTCAGCCCTGAACTGCGCTGCCTCGGTGTCTCCAGCTCCTCACTCTTTAGCTGATACAGATGGTTTTTTTAAAATGCTGACTTTCTGTACCTGTGGCTGAAACGAGGGCACCCGCTTTAGCGGCTGGCCCGAGTGGGATGCTGTTAGGCTGTGGGCTCCTTAGGTCCACGGGTCAGCTGATCGCTACCTTTCTCGGTTTAAGAACAGGAAAACCAGGTCATTTTTCAGGGTCATGAACACTGTTGGGAAGCCTGCCAGTATTTCTCAGGATTTAGCCTTGGGAATTCTTGAAGGAACTGTGAAATCTTTTACGATTATAAATCTAATTACTTCAATTACAAATGTACAGACCCTTCCAGGATTACTAACCCACTTCTAGTAGCTCAATCTATGTTAAATTATGATGAGAGACTTAGTAAACTGTATCCGGAATCTTAATGGATCCTTGAAAACTCCAGGCTCCATTCTCAGAATCTGTAATAAGTGCTATAATTAAAGTATCATAAAACTACTTTTCAAACTTTAAAATAAAATAAAAAATGCCAAGAATTTATAGCTACAGTAATGGGGGATTTTATTCACTAAACCAGTAAGCACAAAGTAATAATTTATCTCCTCTAAATTCAGAGCTAGGTATTAGACTAGGTTAATTTTTTAGAATATATATTAGTCCTAACCTCTTAGAAACAAAACCACAAAAAGAGACAGTCTTTATAATATCAATATTATAATACAAAAATATAAGTAATTTATATATAAATAAAATACTAAAACCAATTATTACCATTTTTGTTCATAATGAATAAAACTCCCAGTTTCTTGCTACAATGAAAACCTAGATACATAGGATCGTATGTCAGATGCAATTAAAAATAGGAAAAGAGCTGGAATTCAATCTTTACTTTGCCTGCTCTGAAATCTTCTCGTGTCCGTATGAGATTTCTTACGAGGCTTGTCACTGACTTAAAGAAATAAAATCAGATCACCAGTAGTTCAGAATGTTTACACCGTGATTTGGAACAAAGAGGGTAAGAAGTTAAACCACTTAGGACAACTAGCTCTTTGTCACTTCCCTTCCGTTAGACAACATACCTGCAAAATCTCGATAATCTTCAGTTTGGTGTCCATCACGGTCACGTCCTCGTGCTCGGCAGAGCTGCTGTGCTTGCTGGGATGGGCGCTGGGCTGCACGTCGGGCACACTCATGGGGAAGATGGAGCCTCTGCTGAGCACCATCTGGGTCATCATCTCCCCCACGCCGTGGATGGTCCTCATGACATTGTTTCCTGGCACAAGAGAGGTCCTTACATCAACACACACGCCTGGTGGGGCAAGCGCGGTTCTACCCAGCTGGAGATGCCCACACTGGAAACAGGACGGGGAGAGGGGCAGGGTAGGAATCGGGTCCGCATTGCATAGCTCTTCCCTTGCAGATACAGATACTACGGACACATTTCAAAATGACCCACTTTGAAAATGAAAGTTCACTTCTCTCCGAAAGCGCCCGTCCACAGCGCACCGAAGGTGAGGCACCCAATCAGGTCCTCCTGGAGCACAGGGAGTCCCACCAACCCTCACACCGACTCAGGCCCTGACTGTCACAATCGTGAGAAGGCAAGGTTTTTGATCTCTGCGCTCAAATGAGTTGCAAGGGAGGATACAAAGATGACGCGAAGACATTTGAATGGTCAATAGGGTCCTAATCCTACCCTCAAACCAAGGACTTTCCAGCTTGTGTACCTTTCACAGCGCTTTTGAAAAGAGTTTGTCGCGAGGATTGTACAACTTCATTTGAAGAAGAAAGTGTTCTCTGGGAAAGAAGCGTGCATCAGCCCATACACCACCCATTCCTTCATCCAAGTTGAACAGAAAGTCATTACTCAAAATCCACAAAAAGCAATTACATTTGAGGTAACTATGAAAACACATTAATGACAAACACAGTCGTTTTCAATGAGGGATGACACCCCTTCTGCAGCTTCTCCTGAGTTTGGCCCGTCACTCGTTTGTCCAGTAAAACAGCCCATCTCCCATCCCTCGCCCTGACCACAGCAGCCAAGCCAAAGGACCCAGCCGGCGCTGCCACTATTTACTTCCTCCAGCCTGAGCGCTGTCTCTCGCTTCTAAATCCCTACAACAGGCAATGGATTCAAAACAACTGTCTGTTTTCCTTTCAGAAGACTGGTCTTTGCTTCATGTATGTTCATGGAGCTTTGCCTCAAGCACAAACCTAAGAATCTGGTAAAGAATTCTCCTCTCCCCAAGTGTTGCGGGGAGAAAGAGAAATAAGATGGGATGAGATAAAACTCTCAGTTCTAAAGAATACAAACTACAGAAATACCTACAGGATAGGGAGGCAAACACATAAAGAAAAGGAAAATTTTTAAAGTATCACTGTAAAGAATCCTGATGGTCCTATGCAGACCGACCACAATTACCATCAAGCCACTGGTAACTACTATTATTTGTACACAGTGAAAAGTGATATGTCTTTTAAAATACATTCTCTTACCCATATATGAAATTAGTATACATAAAAGAGAGTGGTGCTCAAAGAGTACAGTTTTGAGTAGGCAAAGAAATAATGCTTTTTCTCTGGTTTTCATTCTGAAAGTCTAGAACCTTCTATACCACTGCTGGCATAAAACAAAACAAAAAAACAAAAACAAAAATGGGGGTTCGGGGAAGATAAGAAAAAAAAAACATATGCAATGTCAGTTCCAAGTTCGGACGAGGTTGAGACAAAGGGTCTGAGACAGTCCGTGGTTCTCCAGCAATCACAGCCAGTTGACTATTTCCAAATCCCCACACTGTGCGCTGCATGGACTGCAGTAAGGCACATCTGGTTGTTGGCAAATGGTTTTGGGTCACCAATGTTCAACCAGGTCATTTATCCGCGTCCTGATTCCAGTATGTATATGTGTTAGGCTCCAAGAGATGCTGTCTTCCCACTAACACAGAACAGCTTCCTTTGTTATTTTTACCCACTTCCCACAGACACTCTTGGCACCCACAGTGTCTGCATCTTATTTAGATTTGCATGGAAAATAATCATCTAATGTGAATGATTATTAAACAGAATGTTAGCCCAGACAATTCTTTTCCCCAAACACAGACCCTGTCACCAGGAAATTAAAATCTAGAGGCCAGAACCATAATAATATGTAACACATGTTGTCAATGACATGGGAGGGCTCATTTGAGTTCTACCGCATCTTAGATGCCTGTGGCTTGGGCCTGCCACAAAGCCCTCTGTACATCTCCATGTATGGCCAACTCAGAGGTCTCAAATTAAAAGATGCTATATTTTCTGGAGATGCATGGTGGTGATGAGAAAGGCTTACACTGTGAACTATTATAGCTTGAATAGCATAAGTCAGGTGGCACATAAATCACAGACGTGCTAGGCTCCTGGTATCCACTTTCCACAGAAAAATTTCTAATTCTAGACTGTTGCAATAAGTCAGGGGTGATCGATCCTCAACTGCAAAAGAAAACATCTTACTAGTTATCTTCTGAACCATAATTAGCTAATAGTACCAAAAAATTCTCAGTGGAAAGGCTACTGTATTATCATATAAATCCTCTGAACAAATTAATCCCTAGAAATTCAGCTTTTCTAAGTCTTCTATATTAATCCAGAAGCCAGAATTTCCATTTATGTATATAGTGTGTTGAGATAGTTTGAAAAGATGGGAGCCACCTTTGTTAAGCAAAATTAAGAAGGAGTTGCTTAGAAACAAACATAGATGGACTATTCAGGTTCTTTCATTACATGATTGTACAATTATTTTTACTAATCTTAATTCCTTCAAGAGAAAAATGCAAAAGAAAGATGTGTACACTAAACACATATTGGGAACGGCGACTGGGTAGAGACTGGGAATACAGTGCTGTTTCTTTGATGGTTCCAATAAGCCAAGTTCCATTACCAATTCCAGAGAAGTGAAAAGCAGTAAGGAACTTACATAACACTAATGCTGTGCTGACCATAATTTAAATTTTCCCTATTCAGAAGTCATTTTACTGCTGGTGATCATTGTTGGGTCCAAAATCATCAAGAGTTACATAGATTTATAGAAGGTGTAAGGGATGTAATGGAATCGACTGAAATTTACCTTGGATCTGTTGGTATTTATTTTATTTAAAGTCAACTTTATCTGTTCTTTTTCTATTAGAAATACTGTTCTCTCATGAGAATAAGAATAAAGTGTGATAACATAAGAATAAAAGTGATAACCTGAATTTTAAAAATTTCAGGTAGACATTTCTCAAAGTTTCTCACATATAAGAGATAATAGACACGTCTGATTAGAAGAGTTCTGTGAATAATTGTTCACAGCACTTTAATTGTTCTGTGACTACGAAAGTCAGCTCAATGTTTTATAATAGAAGCCAAAAATGGGTAATCCAAGCACCATTCCTACTTCCCTGAAAACATAATTTTTTATAGTTGGATTTGAATAAATGCATCTGCTGCTATAATAATTCATTTGAAACACAATGATGTTAAGCCATAAAGACATGACTCAAGAAATCGTCCTACTTCCCATTACTGCTCAGCAGCTCCTTATAAAACCTCTACTTGCTGAAACACGCCTCCACTCTCTAGAACTGGAACAGTTTACTATTTCCAACATTCTCTGGAGCAGTGCCTCCTCCCAATGGTTGAGGGTCTAGGTTATAAAAGGACTCTGTGTATGCAAAGAAAAGAATGTGAATAAAAGATCAAAGCCTGAATTAAACTAGTGATATAAGCAGAGTGATAGCTAACATGGTACCAACCTGGATTAAATTGAAGATCAAGATTTAACTCTCTAAGACAACAGATAACCAGCACTCCCAATTCAAAGTTAGATCACAGAATTTTGGAAGCAAGACAGCCAGTCCATAGGGGGTTTTTAACTCCTTGTGCTGAACCTGCAAGGAACTTGCTGTTCCTTTCCCTGGAGTTCTCTTGCCCAGATGGTCATCTGACTTGCTCCTTCACTCCTTTCTGATTTCTGGTACAATGTCACCTCCTCAGATAGACCACTACTGGCCACTGTCTCTGACCTTCGTTCACATCCGTGCACCTGTTTCACATGTCAGTCACAGTATTATCACCATCTCTTATCATACAGTGTATTTATTGTTCTGGTTTTTGTACCCCCTTCAAAAAGAACATAAGCTTCATGAAGACAGGGTTCTGCCTGGTTTGCTGATCTGTCTCCACTCCAACACCTGGAATAGTGTCTGACAGGTAGCAGCCATTCAATCAGTGTTTGTTAGGTGAATGCATTAATTAAAGAAAAAGAGATTAGATGAACCAATGAATTATTAAAAATGAAAATGACTTTTTTTTATAAGGTTTATATAAAAAACTGGATCTCATTAAAAATATCCCATCTTTCATCAAGGTCAATGTTTGCTTCCTTTCCTTTATATTTTCCTAAATTTTTCCAAAAAGCATATATAATTTCATGTTACTTAAAAACTTAGAAAAAGGTAGTAAAATAGATACCAAGGAGATAAGAGAAATCACATAATCTGCCTTTATTAAGGGCATTTCACATCCCATATACTTGGTTAGGTCACACACATCCTTCCCAGTAGGGTGAGGGGTGGTGGGACCCACCCCACTTTACTCAATCAGAAAGTGGCAAAGCCTCAGATTCAGGTCAACTGATGTCAACAGGCAGCTTTTATTCCCCACCACGTTGCTTCACTAATAGACCAGCAACTTACAAGTTTCTAAAGATTTTATACTAGAACTCAAAAAACCTAACAAATGCAGAAAGAAAAAAAATACAATTAAAACTGTTGACTAGAAATGTGGAATTACTCTTAATCATATAATGAATTTGCTCACACTATTCTCCAGTGAACTTACCCCACCAGTTTTCACTATATATGATGGGCTACACATGACTCGCAGCATTTTGTTTATATGACACAATTTACTTTCAAGGTCAGCCCCTGCTCGTAAAGTACTAAGTAACCAATGTCCATCTGGCTATCTACTAGGAACACTGCGGGTGGGAGGCCATAGGAGAAGAATTTACTGTATGGCTAGGAAAATATAAAACATATCCATAAAAAATTTCAGAACAAAGACAGATGCAGATGAGATAGTGATACCATATCATGGGCAGTACACAAATTTCTGAGCAATTCTTTTTAATTGGGAAAACTATCTTAGGGTGAGAAGAGCGCAGGGCAGCTTCGCAGAAGAGTCACAGTTTCGAGCTAGACTTTGAATGGAATGAAGTTTAGATTGATGTGATCTTTCTCAAATTACTTCACC